AAGATAATCTCTTCTCTTTCTCACCTTGTCAGCTAAATGCACAACCCCTCCGGGGCCTGTGCACGAACCAAGAAAATCACGTTAAAGCCAAGGAGGTGCAACTGTGGGTTTATTCACCCGGAAGGTGGAAGGACCCACCGAGGCTCGGTGACGAGGCTGAGTGAGGTCTTGCAGAACAGCGTTTGTCTTAAACGGGGACCTGATACAAGGCGCCATTTCCCCCAGAGCAGAATCCACAAGGTGGAAACCAGAAAGTGAAAGTGGGAGTGGCTCCTCGGGGTATTCCGCCCACTCGTACTCTTATGCAATGTTGGCTTCCTAAAATTGCAGCTTTGGAGTGGGAGAGCTGGAAGTCCTAAGGAGAAACACTTCCCCGAGGGACACAGTCATGTTCCCTTGAAGTGGAAGCAGAGACGGCCTCTGGGCCACTCGGGGCTAACCATGATGTCAGCCCAACAGGCAGAGAAGGCCGCTTACTAAGCTGGGGCGACTGAGCTAATTACTGAGAGAAAGCTGGGTTGCTGCCATACAGTTGGATAAAGAAGGATCAGAATGGAGCCCAGAATATTCACCGGAAATCCTTTACAAGCCCTTGTCCACAGTATTGGCCCACGTCTTCCCACAGCCCACGGCACTGCAGCAATGCGATGAAGGGCCGTGAACGTCTGGATCCTTCGGGTCGCTCCACGGGATAGGAAGTCCCCACCAACCAAAGTATCAGAAAAGCGTAAGGGGGTAAAGCGACTGTCAGTGTAAGCTTTGTGTCCACCCCCATTCAACCCTGCCACCTGACACGAAGAGTCTTGTTAGAGTACAGGGTTAGGACTGCGACCGGAATCACCTCGCTCTGCATTGACAGGAGAGCGCCCTGGGGTGCGGGCTTCTCTGGGTTAGGGATGTGAGCTTTCAAGACAGAGCACGAACGGGTGCTCAGGGCAAGAGGGATGGACTGCGCTCCTCCCGGTGCCTGGGCCACCCTTCTCTGCCCAGCTCTGGGGGCCCGCCCCCCGGGCCTGCTGCTTCTGCTTCCCTGGCCCTCTGGGATTAGCCGCTGGCAGGCACTGGCAGGAGAGTGGAGGGCTGGAGGAAAGAAGCCAGTGGTGTTTTTGTTTGTTTGTTTGTTTTTTAAAGAATTATTTTATTTGACTTAATCTGTTTTTAGTTTGACCAGAAAGGGATAGAGTGAGAGACAGAGAGAGAGGGAAAGTGAGAAAGCAAACCGCCGTGTCTGGGATTCAGACCACAGTCAGCCATGTGGGAGTCCAGTGCCCTTAACTGCCACACCACCTGCCAGGCCCAGAAGCCAGGATTTCTATCCCTCCTGTTCTGAAAGTTGTTGCTTTCTTTCCCCCACGGCCACAAACCCCACCAGGTAAACCACCCTCTAAGGCTACAGCTTTCACTGGCTCCAGGATCCAACCTTCCCTCTCACGCCCCAGCAGGCTGAGTGTGGAAATGGCTTCCCACCATCACCTGTCCCTGAATGCCTCACCGTCCATCGCTGGACCTCGTAACCCTGCCCACAGGATCTGGTAAGTAGTCCCCTCCCTAGTCCATGTTTCATTAAGCCCCTGAATCTGACGCCCATTTCCTGTTAGAATCCTGACGGACATGTCTACATTGACCACTTCCTCGCTTCTCATATCTCGGACCGTCTACGTGAGATCGTTTTCCTCATGAGCAACCGAAGCGCCTTTCTTCAGAGAAGGCGAGGTTTGCTTCTTCCCTGTGGCCTAGCACCAGCTTGGTACCACGTTTATTTCTGTTCCCCTCATCCCAGGAGACTATTGAAAATTGCAACTGAGGGGCCGGCAGGTGGCATGGTAGTTAAGGTGCTAGACTCCCACATGGCTGACTGAAGTTTGAGTCCCGGACCTGGTGGCTTTCTCTCTCTCTCTCTCTCTCTCTCTCTCTCTGTGTCTAGTCAAACTGAAATAAACAAATGATAAAGTTAAATGAAAAAAGTTTTTAAATGCAGCTTACGTTATAGTCAGAATAAGATAGAACTCGTCATCAGTCTAAACCAGCTTTGAACGTTCTGCTGACTTCTCTGAGTCCCCTCGCTTTCTAAATTTTAGCTGGCAAAAGCCTCACCGAAGGGCTGTCTTTCATGATCCTGCAAAGAATGATTTTAGTATTTTATCCAGAACTTGTGGAAGGTTGATCCACATAGCCCGGCCTGCCATTATCGAAAAAGTGAGAAAATCTTGCCCCCTCATAGATTATTTTCCTGATTTTGCATGCACTTCCTATTTTACATAATCACTTGGGGAGAATCTGTCTTTAAACCTTGCATGGCAACTATGACAATGGAGCAAAGCCATTGACGTTCATGATATCAAAATGATGTTACCTACTGTTAAATAACAAGTTAGCCCAGAACAAGCAGCTGAAAACAGCACACGTTCATTATCACACGACGTCTATGGCCAGGAATCGGAGTCACAGCTTAGCTTGGTCCTCTGATTCACCGTTCCTTACTAGACCCAATCGAGGTGTCGATTCAGGGTCCGCAGACTCAGTCGAATGCTCTCTCTGCCTCCAACCTCATTCATTGGTTTTGGCAACACTTGGTTACTCGCGGAGAACTGGGATGAGAACACCTGGTTACTGCCAGCTGTTGGCCAAGGGCTTCAGTTCCTTACCACGTGTCTCTCCAAAATGGCAGCTCACAATGCTATAGTCACTTCCTGCATTTGCAATGAAAACTAAGAGGAAGGGGACCAGCAGCTAGCGTAATGGCTATGTCGCTAGACTCCCATGTAGTCGATCACGGTTTGAGTCCTGGTCCCAGTAGCTTAAACTCACATGAGGCGTGTGTGCGTGCCCAAGATTCGGAGGGGAGAATGGAGGAGAAGAGATTGTGGCGTGGCCATCCCCCTGGGGTGTGATTTCTTGCTTTCTGTCTCTCTGTCTCTCTCTGTCTTTCTGGTGAGTGCACACGCCCTATAGCAAAAAAACCAAAAAACAAAAAACAAAAAACCACTCTCAAAAAAAACCAAAAAAACTAAAAACTAAGGAAGGGAATCAAGGAGAAAAATAGAGAGGCAAGACATGCAAGAAACACAGAAATGGAGGGTCACCTGTTGATGATAATGTGTGTGGTTGTCTTCAACTGGACAGGCATGAAGTGTATTCATGTTGGGTAAATTCACTTTACAAGTTCTAGTGATGTATAGTGAGTCAATGTATAAAATAAATTTAAAAAAAAAGAAAGAAAATAAAAGAAAACTAAAAGGCAAAAGAGAGACTTTGCTAACAAGACGAGTCGCAAGGGCCAGATGGTAGGGTGTGGTACAGTGTGGTGGTCTGTGAGGAAATTCCACATGGGAAAGTTCCTGGTTCAGATTCAGAGATCACATCAGGCACGTTTTCCCATGACCTAGAGCTGCAGAAGGGTGCAGGTGGACCGTGGCGTCAGACCCCTGCTGGAGGTGCAGGGGAGGTGCTCTCTCCTTCCTCACTCCCAGAGTAACCAGCTAAACAGACGCAGAAAACGACAGGAGCCCCACTCTTCGGCAGTGTCATTTTGGACATGACATCTTTTCTCTTTTGCTATGTTTAGCTGGTTCTAAGTAAGTCACGAGGCGTGCTCGTACTCAGGGGAGCGCTACACAAAGGCCCGAGTATCCGACGGCGGAGATCACTGGGCGCCATTGTGGAAGGCGGGCAGACCTGATGTCTCAGTGCCCACCTGTCTCCACTTTCCATAGCTACACGCCTATTTTAGCATCTCTGCAGAAGCAGAACGACAGAAAAGTGTGTCAGGTTTTGTTTGTTCGTTGGTTCGTTTCGAGAGAGATTTTTGCTGCAGGGCAACTACATGGGAGTCCAGCGCCCTAACCATTATGCCGCCTGTTGGTCCCAGACAGCGAAGTTTTCATGATGTGTGCCGTGTGTAATATCTCTACTCTCAAAGCAGTTGGTTTGGCTTCTCCAGAAAGTTCATCAGATAAATAACTCTTCCCACAAGCAACTTCTGGTTGTCAGTAAGCCCTGCTATGTGGGTATCCCCATCTCAAGAGTACAGTCGCTTCTTTTTGTTCAAGCAGCCCTTCAAAGACAGAAGAGCTGTTTGGCCATGCTGTTTGAACACTTGTATGAATACAGTTCCAAGATCTCGTCTGTCTTGAGTCTGATTTTTGCTGAAGAAGAGTGATAAGTATGTGCCCCAACCTCTTTCTGCTTATCCTCCGCAATTCTTTGGCCTGATACTAAGCTCGAATTATTTCTGGACACACAACTGAAGAGTGTGAACAAACCCTAACGTGCTTGGAATTTCTAATTCCCTCATAGCCTTTGCCACTTTTGTTTAATTATCAATGACAACTACTGATTTTCCATTCTACCGGGGCGGGGGGGGGGGGGGGTCAGAAAAATGATGTGGTTTTGCATAGAATATCATAGAAAAAAAAAGTACGTCATGACTCCTCCCACCACCGAGTACATTCTACAAACCACACCCACTAAGTTGCTAACTGTGTGTGAGACCCAGAATTATCTCAGCAACCAAGGAGAAATACGGTTAAATGCATCGCTTAACTATGCAGGGAGAAGGCCACCTAATCACCTCTTCCTATCCAAATGTTTCATATCGAAGAGTCAGAAGTAATAGTGCCTACAGTAATTCTGAGCACAATTTAATATATGTTTAAGATAAGTTTTATAGAAAGAACTTTCTCATTTTATTTCTTATCATTATTATTCAATTTGCTATAGAGCATGCGTGCTCACCAGAGACAGAGACTGGGAAAGTGAGAAAGCAAGCTGCCAGGTCCGAGACTCAAATTGCAGTCGATTGGGAGTGGGAGTCCAGCACCTCAACCACCGTACCCCTTGCTGGGACCCTAGAAATAACTTTTAAGAATCATAGCTTAGGGTCCAGGTGGTGTGGTGGTTAGGGTGCTGGACTCCCACATGGACGACTGTGGTTAGAGTCCCAGACCTGGCAGCTTGCTTCCTCACTCTCCCAATCTCTCTCTCTCTCTCTCTCTTTCTCATCTTTCACTGGTCAAATTGAATAATAGTAATAAATACAATTCTTTTCAAAAGAACCATAGCTCAGGGCCCAATTGCATTGGCACCGTTGTATGGTGCTGGAGCCACGTGGAAGACCAGGGTTCTGATCCTGGAGTGGCCTGGAACATGTCAGGTGTGCAAGCATGCATATGATCTCAGTGGGCTGGACACTGGGGGACTGCAGTGAAATGAGAGCTTGTTGAAGACATCTGCTTCTCTCTCTCTCTCTCTCTCTCTCTCTCTCTCTTTCTCTCAATAAAATAAATAAAACTTGAAAAAAAAGGCAGCTTGGGAAATATTGAAAATTCCTTACTTTCCACTACTGAAAATGGTTGACAGTATTATGCAGTCAAATTGACAGCTTTGATTTAAGGGTTTAGCTTCAATAGACACAAAACTATAAAGAATTTATCTTTGTAAAGTATTCTTATAAAATCAGTTGTTTTGAAGTTTGATTAGTGAGAACAAAATGTGTTTGGGGCCCTTAATTTGCAACACTTTCTTATTTTTTTTTTCACGCTCTTTGCATTCATTATGTCTGGATCAAAGACGATTTATCATGGAAGTTGTTATACATGATTTTGGAAGCACTTTAGTTCCACTTCAAGAAACTTGAATCAGCAAAGTTGTCAATCTTTCAAAAAGCCATCTTCACAAATGCGAAGAATTTTCAAATAACACTTTTTCTTACAAGACTCATGGCCTAAGTGGAATTAAATAAAATACAGTTATTAAAGATGATTTTCTTTAATAATATGAATACTAGGACATCAAATAATTCTACAAAGAAGGCTACCTACCATAAAAGTGGATTTCCATTTCATCTAATATTTGCTCTTCTGCCTCACGTTATTGACATTTTTACAACCACTTGTGGGTTCCAAGAGGAGAAAATATTCTTCCTAATAGTGTCTAGCTAAAGCATCCTTAATACTGAAATATATATATTCATACCAAAACCCAGTCAATTTCCCGAGTTGTGTGACTGCATGGAAGTTCTCGATCATTGTTTTGGGCTTCAACACCAGGTGCAGTGTGAGGTGCTGTGTCCTCAGGACTGACCTCGGGTTCATCCAGCTGCCCGAGTGTTGATGGCCGACAGCTTCCACCGACTCCTCCCTGCCAAGATTGCTTTCAGGAGAAGAGCACTGCCTCACCAAGGTCACAGCCCCTTCCAGGGTCAGGTCCCAGCCAAAGACTGGTCTGCTAAAGCAAAAGAAGTGGGAGGTCATGAGCTTGAGGTCATCTTCGTACTTTGAGTACTTAACTAACAAACCACAGCTTAGCAATACTTTTTTTAAAATAATTATTTATTATTTTTAAATTTGATCAGAGAGAGAGAGAGACTGAAATCAAGTCATCAGGTCCAGGACTCAAACTATGGGTCGACTACTTGGGAGTCCAACACCTTAACCACCATGCCACCTGCTAGCCCCAGCAGTACACTTTTTGGAAATGAATAGCTAAGTTTCAGCCAATCATAAACAGCCAAGCTTCAGCCAGTCACAGGCTGCCAGCTGATAGGACCGTGCCCAAAGAAGGCAAAGGCCTAGCTGTAGCCCATCAGGTGACTCCAGACCTGTCTTCTCAGGCTGGCCCTGCTGGGTGCAGCTCCCTGAGCCTCTTTTGGTTCTGAATACCGCCCAGCTCATGACTCGTTCTTTGCTTAAATGAACTTTGTTAAATTTGTCTAAGTTTTTTTTTTTTTTTTTTTTAAAGAGGCCAATGTGTGTTCTAAAGGCCCAGTCTCCTTGCCCCAAGTTGGAACGCCATCTGTGGGTCCATTCAGTCCCTGCAGGATTGCCTGGGACCTTTGTTACAACGGAACAGGATTGAGTTGTTGGAAAAGTCATGACGAATTTCTCTGTTTTTCTATGCAACATCCTTCATGACTTTTCCAACCCAATAGTTTAACTTCTCTCACTGCCTCAAACGCTCCCTTCACGCCCCACAAGGGTGACTTCTGAGAGCTCCCCCATTCGTTTCCTGAACTCTAGTCTCTGTTTCAGAGTCAGTTTCCCGAAGAACCGCCTGCAGCCAGCAGGCTTTCCTGACCATCATTACTTCAGCCTCTTACCCTTGCGAGTATGTTCATTATACACACGCACACATTTATACTTTGGTAAAATTTTAATCTCAAATACACGCATATGAGATTTTTTCCTCCAAGTTATGTTCAACTGCTTAAGTCTGAAAGGGACTATGAAGAGCTCAGTATCAAATGGGCATGATCAACCTTGTCCATATTACCAATGTTACCACCGCACTGGCTAGATATGACGGTAAGCCACGTGATCACAGATCAGGTTCAGGGATGCCAGAAATGACCTTCAAGTTGCCATTCAGTGTTTGGCCCTCAAAAGACTGAGCTGGAGCCAAAGTCAAACAGGAAAATTTAAATAAACACTGAGGTCGAAGCTGAATTTTAATGCAACCCACGTGTGGGCGTGCGCGTTTATTTTAGCATGAAGTAAAATATGGGAAGACACACAGATCGACGTGTGTGCTCTATTGATTTCCTAGGGCTACTGTAACAAAATGTCAAAGTGGCTTAAAACATCAGAAATAGGGGCCAGCAGATGGCGTGGTGGCTAAGGCCCTGGATCTTACATGGCGACTGCAGTTCGAGTCCCCTGTAACTTACTTTCTCACTTTCCCTCTCTCTGGTCAAATTTTAAAATAATAATGATAAATAAAATTAATCTTTTTAAAAGAGCATTAAAAATATATTCCCTCACAGTTGGGGAGGCTAGAAATTGGAAGCCAAGGTGTCAAGAGGGCCATGCTCCCTCCGAAGTCTCCTTCCTTGCCTCTCCTGGCTCGGTGTTTGCCAGCAATCCTTGGCGTTCCTGGCTTGTGGATACAGCACTCAGGTCCGCGCCTCCATCATCACATGGTCTTCTTCTCGGTCTCCTTTCTATCTTCAAAGATCTCTCTCTTTGTCAGGTATCCAGCTACTGGATGTAGGACCCACCTAACTCAGTAGGCTCTCCCTTTAACTTGATGGCATCTGTCCAGACATCCAAATAAAGGGCGGGAGATTAGGATTTCAACATATCTTTCGGGGGTTGCGATTCAACCCACCGTAGATCTGAGGCATGACTTGGGGTGGAGAGACCCCTGGGGAGTAGGCAGGAAAGGGAGGGGTCAATAAAGGTAAGTAAAGAAAAAAGGATGAGAAAGGAGTAGGACGGCCTCCACCGGTTAGATTGTGCTGTCCACACAAAGCGTGCGCGTGTGCATGAAGAGAGGAGCGTAAAGAGCTAGCTCCCTAGCGCTCTGTAGGAATAAGTCAGGCCAGGCTGCTGTGGGCTTACTACGCCGGCCCCGTCTCGCACACTTCAGATAAAATACATTAACTCCTCTAGTGTTCCTGGTGCTGTCATCAGATGGGGCAGCAGAGCTGTGTCGTGTGAAATTTTTTGTTTCTTTGGGTCCAGATCTCTAAGGTTAGAGACCCATCCTAAGATACAGAAGCAAAAACCACAAACATGAGTAGCGCAGGAAAACAGAAGTTTTAATAGAAAAGTAAACAAAAAAGAACTACGCCTCCACGCCAGAAAGGCATGCCAGTGTGCAGCTGCCAGAGGACAACTGCCCTGGGCATGGAGTTTGGTCTGACTTTCATAAACTTTTTTATTATTCTTTTAGAGGTTTTTGCCACAGAGCACATGCACTTGCCAGAGAGAGAGAGTGAGACAGAGACAATGAGAGGGAAAGTGAGAAATCACCTCCTAGGGGGACGGCCACACTGCGGTCCTTTCTCCTCCATTCTCCTCCTGGGATCTTGGGCACGCACACGCAGGCAGGAGTTTTACGCTGCCGAGTCTGGGACTTTACCTGCAGGCAGCCATGTGGGAGTCCAGTGACATAACCACCATGCCACCTGCTGGCCCCTATAAACTTTATTTTCAAGAATTATTTAGTTTTGGGCCAGCAGGTGACGTGGTGGTTAAAGGTGCTGGACTCCCACATGGCTGACTGCGGTTCAAGTCCTGGACCTGGCAGAGTAATCTCTAACTTTCTCTCTCTCTCGCTCTGTCCCTCTTTGGTCAAATTAAAATAAATAAATAAAGTGAATGAAGTCAAATAAAATAATTCCTTATAAAAATGTTTAAAAAGAATTACTTGGTTTTATCATCATCATCATTAGTATTGTTATGTTTAATTTGCTGTCGGGCACACGAGCTCACCAGAGACAGAGAGAGGGAGAGAGAAAGTGAAAAAGCAAGCTGCCAGGTCTAGGACTTAAACGGTGGTTGGCCATTGGAGAGTCCAGCGCCTTGGTCACTGTGACACCTGCTGGTTCCTAGGTGTTACGTTTATTGTGGGGTCTTGTCATGAGTATTTGGGGGGAGAGGTCTGACAGTGTAGCCTGACTTTTTTGTTTGAATGTTGGGCTTCATATGCGTTTGTACACTTCTCTGTCAGGTAAGGAGCCTGAGGACTGTGCTTACCCCTTCACGCACGCCCAGGGTGGACTGAAATTCTGAGCATCTGCAGAGGGATCATCTGCCCGCTTACGGCCCCAGTAGAAATAGCATGGCGACCAAGCATCTCGGTGAGACAACCTCTCCTCTCTCGGCGCCACGGGTCTAGCTGTGGGGTCTAGCCCCAATCCCTGGTAACAGTGGCTGACATGTCAAAAGTCCCCTTTGTTGGAATATTGGAACTCCTGCTCATAACACGTACCTATAACATGACTATTTTTAAGTTATTTAATTTTATTATTTTAATTTGTTATAGGGCACGTGCACTCACCAGAGAGAAACAGAGAGAGAAGGAAAGCGAAAAAGCCAGCTGCCGGGCCTCAAACCATGGTCAGCCATGTGAGAGTCCAGTGCCTCAATTGCCACGCTACTGCTGGGCCCCCATCACTATTATAATCACACCCACTTATGGACGGCAAAACCGAGGCACACAGAAACGTAAGCAGAAGGCGTCTGAGCCAGGATTTAAACCTGGGCTTCCTACCTTCAGAGCCCGTGCTCTTAGTCATGTTGCTGAGTGCAGTGATTCTGTCCTCAGAAAACGAAAACACGAGAAGTGTGCATAAACGCTGAGCATTTCAGAAGACACTTTACATTTGAAGTGTCAGGATCAAAAATTAAATTTTGGATTCTGACCAGCTCTGTTGGGGGTCACAAACGAATGGCTGCTCTGATTGGCTTATACCACTGCATATGCCCAGCCCACGCGTCAGGGCCACGCGGAGTGGGTTTCTCTCAGGAAAGAGACCCCATTACCAGGAATAGGGGAAGTGGATGGCAACGGACAGACTCGCAAACCCCCTGAACCTCACAATAACCTTCCCTCCCTCTTGCTTAGACATAAGAGCACAGGGCCAGCAGGCGGTGTGGTGGTTAAGGTGCTGGATTCCCACATGGCAGAACCACGGGTCAAGTCCTGGACCTGGCGACTTGAAAATCACACTAGGTGTGTGTGCACACGTGCCCAAAACCCCAGGAGAAGGGAGGGGGAGGGATTGCAGCATGGTCGTCCCTCCTGGGGGTGATTTCTCACTTCCCCTCTGTCTCTCTCTCTCTCTTCAGTGAGTACACGTGCCCTATGGCAAAAATCGGGGGGAAAAAATACTTATTGTAATAAGAAAGAAAAAGAAGAGCACAGATGCCGAAGGCCCTTTCCTTACAAAGTGAGCATAAAACACGACCAAGGCAAAGGGAACTGCGGCGGGAGAACCCCAGCACAGGGCACACCCATGCGTCCACGCCCCTCGCAGGAGCGGTCACAGGAGGATGAGATTCGAGGTCTCCACAGCCCTCCCCACTCCCCAGCAAAAACTGCCTTTGTCTCCGGTCCCTACAAGCCCTCCAGGGGCAAGCTACCATTTTGGATTATTTAATGGTGCAACGGGAGACGTCTGCTGTGTTCGGGCCCCCGTCAGTCTGAGGGTAATTCCACCTGTAAGGATTAAGTGGTGCTCTAGGAGCGTCTGGGGTTGGGGCTGAGCCTCCACGTGGAAGGACTCCCTGGTGGTGGCGCTGTAGAATGATCTGTTTAAGGGCTGATTTCTCACTAGGATTCTCTACTGCTTTGATGTTCAAGACCCGGTGCCTCCTTTTCTCCACCACTAAGAGCTCGGTCCTTGATTCGGACCAATTCCGGGCAGGCATCTTCCCACCTAGCGGTTTCTGATTCAGGAAGCTGTGCGTGGCCATGCGGAGGCAGGAAGTCCCTATTTCCCGAGGGGTAACTGGAGTGGTGGTGCTCAAGCCTCAGGAGTTGATGAGAACGGTGGCCTCGGTGTCTAAGGGGCGGGGGTGTGAGAATTATGGATAGAGAATAGCAGAGACTGGCAGGAATGGTGGTATTAAGAGTGCCAACGTCTGATGGGAATGGTGGCCCCGTGCTTGGGGGAGTGTCCCAGGGGCTGATGGGAACAGCACCCCCTATGTATTCGGGATCAGTGGGCATGGTGGTCCCCGAGCCTCAGGTCTGTGGGAGTCACAGTAGCTGGGTCCTAGGTGCTGAGGGATTTGGAGCCCTGTGTATCAGAGAATGACAGAAATAGTGACCCCCTTGACTTAACTGATGAAAGTGGAGACCTTACCTTTCAGGAAGTAACAGGAATTACGTTCTCATCCCCAGGGGCTTTAGCGAGTCATTTGATATTCACTCACCCTTCATTCTCTCCCTTGGCAAACATTTCCCCACGCCCCTCTTCTGAGCCACACCCACGGGGTGATGCTGAGGACAGCAGTGACTCAGACCTACCTAGACTGTGACCTTAACGAACTCCCAGAGACAGACCCAGACACAGAAAATCATGACACAATGGGATCAGGGACCAGGGGCAGAGCGATGATGGAGGTACTGTCCTGACCCGTCTACAGAACATCTGGGGTGAACGAAGGGGAACAGTAACTCTAGATCCCACGTCAAAGGCAGGGTCTGGCAGGGTCCTTCTTAACCCACATGACTTTGTGTGTATGGCAAGTCCACACGTGCCCCATGGCAGTCTCGTAGGAGTGCATTTTTGCAGGGACAACCCCCTTCCAAAGAACAAGCTGGAACCTGGAGCCAAAGAGGCCCGAGTTTGAAGCCCTGATTCCATTACTCACGGAGTGAGCCTGGGCAACTCACTGTTCAGACCTCAGTTCATATCTCATACTGAGGTGGCTGTGTGGCCCGTGATGCAATTACCTTAACTACACCCAGGGACCAGTCCCACGGAGTCATTCAATAAAGGCAATTTGTAATCATTATTGTTATCCCTATCATTAGTGATTAGCAACATTTTTTTAAAAACCTAGAAATATTTATCAAATATCTGAATTCAGGGACTTAAAAGCATTGGACAAAACCACTAACAACAAAAATAATGAAAAACTCTTGGGCCGGCAGGTGGAGTGGTGGTTGAGGCACTGGACACCCACGTGGCCAACCATGATTTGAGTCCCAGATCTGGCAGCTTGCTTTCTCACTTTCTCTCTCTTTTGTCAAATTGAAACATAATAATAATAATAATAATAATAATAATAAATAAACTTAAATAAAAAAATTATTTAAAAAGATCATAGACATGAATATTCATATTAGTTTATGCAAAAAAACTCCCAATTTTCCAACTGATGGATAAATTACAAATAAATAAATGTACACACTGGAATGCTATATGGCTATAAATGAAGCGGCTACCTCCATACACACGGATACAGGAGGCTCTTTGGGGTGTAGTGTTAAAAAGAAAAAGATAGAGAAAAGCAGAAGGCCTGCCAGCGGTCTGGTGGTTAAGAGAGCCGGACGGCACACTGCTACCCATGCTCGGTGGCTCAAAATGCACCGGGTGCATGTGCGTGCGTGCCCCAAACCCCAACAGACTAGAGAGATGAAGTGATTGCGATGTGACCATGCCTGGCCCCCAGAACCGCCTCGATTTCCCGCCCGTGCCTTTGCTCAGGCTGCGCCCTCTGCCTGGACGCCGTGAGGGCTGCCCCTCAGTCCACCACCCCATTGTGGGGTGCTTTCGCCCTCTTCCTGTTTCTCTCTGGTGAGCAAAACGCTCCCTCTGGCAAAATTTTCTTAAACAGCAAGGTGCAGAAAAATGCATTCCAAACCAGGTCAAACAGGAGGGGTGTGTCTAACACATGTGCACAGGTGTGGCGGGGGCATTCCTCCGCTGGTTGTCCCCACAGAGAACTGGTGACTGGGGACAGAGAGGGAAGGGAATGCATTTTCACTAGTGGAGCGAGTCACTAGACCACCGGCTGACTGTGCTCGCTAAATGCCCCGCACTCCTTCCGGACCCTGAGGCTCTGCCTCCCACCACACCCTCTCCTTGCTCCCGGTTCTCCTCTGGGAACCACTCCCGTCTCAGTTCCTGGGCCAGACTCCAGGGAGCTGTAGCTTCCAGCCTCTTCCCTGTCCTCCACCTCCTCCAGCCCGGCAGGGCCCCCAGCCTCCCTACAAGCTCTGTCTGGCCAAGGCTAGGGCCCTCCTCTCTGGCCCTGGTCCTGGCCGCGTCCTACCGCCTCTCCAGGAGGAAGGAGGCCTCCCCAGCCGCACCACCCCCGCCCAGGGATCTGTCATTTCTGATCTGTCCCTGCCCTTCCCCTTGCTCACAAGCCTCCATCGCTCCCTGTCACCTTCAGAAGTCTAAGTTCCCAGCTTGGCCTCCAACACCGAGACCCTGGTCACGCCCACTGCCCCCAACCTCATCCTCTCTGCTTCCTTGGCGCCCACGTCTAAGGCTCCAGTGTGACCCGACTGCTTCACTGCCTGGCCCCCCCAGAACCGCCTCGGTTTGCTGCCTGTGCCTTTGCTCTGGCTGCGCCCTCTGCCTGGGCGCCGTCAGGGCGGCCCCTCCGTCCACAATCCAGTCCCGAACTTCGCGATCCCGGGGGCCGGCCCGACCACGCCTTCGGAGGTCTCCCGCTGCAAGGATCCCTTCCACCCCTGGGCTCCCGGACCCCTCTGCCATACCCAGAGCACCCTGGAATGGGAACTCCGCGGCGGGTCTGTCCTCCATCAGACCGTGACCTCCGTCTGCAAGGGCAGTGACGGGTCTGAGCCACCTCTGAGTCCCCAGGGGGCGGGGAGCGGGTGTGTGCGGAGACCAAGGAGGGAGGGGGCGGGAGAGGAGAGCCCGAGAGGGCAGGCCTGTCTGGGGAGGGGCTGCTCAGAGCAGGGAGAGCGGGAAGAAGCCCTGGCGAAGGATGGGACTGGGAGCGAGAAGCAGCAGGAAGGGCTCAGGAAGGGAATGAGACCTCACAGAAGACCCGCGGGCGCAGCAAGGAGGGAGAGGACGCGAGAAAGGAAGGACAGACACCCGGAGCCAGGGCAGGACAGAAAGGAGACAGAAGGAGCGAGACCAACCGAGACTGACAGGGGCAGAGAGAGGCAGGAAGAGGGAGGGCGGGAGCGGGAGAGACAGGGAGAGAGACACCGCGCAGAGCCGGGAGGGAGGCCGGCCAGGAAGGGGGAGGCGGCGAGGAGGCAGGGAGGAGCG